TTTAGGATTTTGTTATGGAAATGCTGATAAGAGTAAAGAATGTATAACTCAGCTTCAATAATGGTTAACTCTGTCAGTCCTACTTCAGTCAGAAGTAGAACTATTAGTGTGTGTGTAATAAGGGATTTACTATAGAGATTTGGCCTTACATAGTGACTCTAACGTTGCTATTTTATATATACGTGTGTATATAAATAATCTAAATTTCTAGTTTTCACCTTAGAAATAATAAGCATGGAAACTAATAGGGAAGTGTGACCCAACTAAGGAAAAAGATTAGTTAAATAGAAACTGACTCTGAGTATGCCCAGATGTTGGATTTTAAAACGTCTTATAAGCAGCTATTATTTTTAAAGAACTAAAGGAAAACATTCAAATAATTAGTAGAAAAATGCAATGTGAGTCAACAAATAGGGATTCACAACTGACAAGTGGAACTGATAAAAAATAACGTGAAATTTCTAGAATTGATAAATGTAATAACTGAAATGAAAAGTTCCTTAGATGAACTCAATATCAGGTTAGAATTTGTAGAAGAAAAAGTCAGTGAACTTCAAGATAAATCAAGAGAAATTTTCCAAACCAAAGAACAGAGAGGAAAAAAAGAAGTCGGAGACAAATCAACAGAGTCCTGTGCTACAATATTAAACATGTCACCATAATTCCAACACAAGTATAACAGGAGCTCCAGATGGAAAGGAGTGAGAGAAAGGGCCAAAACATTTTTGAAGAAATTATCTAAATACTTACCAAATGTGATAAAAATTATCTACAGATCCAAGAAATTCAATGAACTTCAAGTAGGATAGTCACAAGGAGAAACACACCTAGATAAATCATAGTCACACTGTTGCACGACGAGAAAAGCTTGAAAGCAGCAAGAGAAAAACCCGTATTACATCCAGGGAAACAGTAAGTGATGAACGGCTCATTTCTCCTCAGAAACAATGGAAGCCAGAAGATGGTGGAGAAATACGTTCAAAGTGCTGAAAAAAAAGTTCATCTATCAACTAAGAATTTTATATCCAGCAAAACTGTCCTTTAAAACATGAAGATGAAGGAGGTTTGACTTCTGGTTCTGGGTAAATGGAATAGATGTATATTTCTCTATTTTCCCCACTCAAAACAACTGAAGCTCTAGACACCACATATAAGAGAAACATAAGGAGCCCTGGGAGGTGGGAAGAAGGCAAAGTAGTTGTAGACCTTGCGACCCTGCGAATGACATGGTGGTGAGTTCCATGGATTTGGTTGTTGCCCCATATGTCCTAGTCTTGGAGCTGAAGAAGCCATCAACCCACAAATGTCAACGGGTGTAGACAAAAAGTCCCAAGAAAAACCTGCTGTCTGTAGCTGAAGGAGCATGTAGGAAAGGCGCAGTCTAGCAATATAGAAAATTTTAGGCGGTAACTACTCCACACACCACAAGAAAAAACTGTGTCCCCACCCATGCCTGCAAAGTCCAAGTGGGAAGCCTAGACTAGCACCCTAATGAGGCCTTGTTGAGATGCCTTGATACCCTCTGATAGGGTGGTGTCAGAGTGGGCCGATTAGGGAGCCAGGCCTGTTTCATCAAGGCCCCCCTCATGTAAGTGCAGATCGAGTGGAGAGCTGGAACGCCCACCTGCATCCAGCAATAAGTAACGAGAGTCCCTTTGGAGGTGTCAGTGGAGGCTGAGCAGGGAACCTGGACTTCGGTTTCCACCTAGCAGTAATGAGATGGCTCCCAGTGTGGTGTCATAGAAAGTTAGCTAAAACAGGACGTTTACGTAAGATCCAGAGTCTTGTAACACAATGAAAAAGTATCCAGGTTTCAACTGAATAATCACTCATCATATCAAGAACCAGGAAGATACCAAAATAGATGAAAAAAGACATTCAATAGATGCTAACACGGAGGTGACAGAAATGTTAGAATTATCTGCCAAAGATTTTCAAGCAGCCATGATAAAAATACTTCAGCGAGCCATTATGAAGGTGCTTGAAACAAATGGAAAAAAAAAAAAAAGATAGCTTCAGAAAAGAAATAGAAGATATAAACGAGAACTAAATGCACATTTTAGAACTGAAAAATAGAATAACCAAAGTAAAAGCTTTGTGAATGGGCTCAACAGCAGAATGGAAGGGACAGAGAGAAGAAAAAAAAAAAATCAGTGAACTGGAAACCACAGCGGAACAAAAGAAATTACCCAATCTGAACAACAGAGAGAAAATAGAAAATAAATAAATGAATGAATGAATACAGCCTCAGGGACCTTTGTGACTATAACAAAAGGTCATCTAACGTTTGTGTCATGGGGGGGCCCAGAGGGGAGGGGGAGAGTGGGGCTGAAAGAGGACTCAGAGAAATAATGGCAGAAAACTTCCCAAATTTAGGAACAGACTTACACCTATAGATTTCAGAGGCTAAGTGAACCCCAAACAGGGTCATTCCAAAGAAATCCATACCAAGTACATCATCATTAAACTTCTGGAAACTAAAGACAAAGAAAAATCTTGAAAGCAGCCAGAGGAAAATGACACCTTACCTAGAGGGAAAGAAAACCAATGTGAATGACAGTGGGTTTGTCATCAGAGACCCTAATAAAGACCAATAATAAAGAGGAAATGGCATGGTATTTTTTAAGTGTTGAAAGAAAACTGCCAGCCCAGAATCCTTTACCTAGTGAAATGTCTTTTAGGAGTAAGAGGAAATCAAGAAATTCTCAAAGGAAGGAAAACAGAATTTGTCACCCACAGACCTTTCCTCAAAGAATGGCTAAAGGAAGTTCCTTAAACTGAGAGGAAATGATTAAAGAAGGACCTTTACACATCGGGATGAAAGGAAGAATGCAGGAAGCAGAAATATGGATGTATACAATAGGCTTTCCTCCTCTCGAATTTTCTAAATTTTGTTTGATGGTTGAGTCATCAAACATTATAAATTATAACATGGCCTGATACATTTCTAAGTGTATTTAGATGAAATATTTAATACAATTATAAAAAGGAGAGGCTAAAGGGATGTAAGGGGGGGTAAAGTTTTTATACTTCACTGGAACTGGTAAAGTAACACCAGTAAACTGGGATGTTTTATATATTATCATGAATCTACATACACACACATACACATATATTGAGTTGTTGGAAAAGTAATGACGCATTTTTGCAACGAAAAACAGAAAAAATACGTCGTGACTTTTCTGACAACCCAATACATATATATATATAAATATAATTGATAAGCTATAAACTGATATATACAAAACTGATATATATATCTGATTTAGAACTGATATATATATAAACATATATGTCTGATATATATAAACTGTGGTAAGATATATATTATATATAAATGTACACTTAAAAGTACTATAGGTAAACAAATTAAATTCTTTTAAAAAATGTTGTACAGTGAGGAAGGCTGATAGTAAAAAAACTGACTCACTTGAAATAACGGTGTTGCTGGAGAGCTTCACTGCTTCACTGAATTTTTGGTGCTGCTCTTTCTTGCTTTTGGAGAATAATTAACTCACCCAGTGGATTCTGATGTCGTGCCTGTCAGATGCCAGCTATTTCTGGGATGAAAGCTGTGCTGTTAGTCATAGTTGTCACGTGTAGCTTTTCTTATTTACAGCTTGCCTGTTTATAATCAATAAAAGATAAATGTAACATTGACCATTAAGGCCATGGAAGTACGGTGGCCCTACCGTGGCATGAAGACTAGCCAGGGGCTCGGCCTGTGACCATTTCTAACTACCTGGAAATGCTTAGAAAACACGAATTTCTGCCCACATTGTTGGGATTTGCATGTCAGTATGTGAGCCAGGCTTGGAGAAAACATGGTTCCCCGTACTAATGCCACTTATGGCTGGGCCCTTGACAATAGGTGGTTGACAAGAATAAAAGGAAAACTAAGATAGGAGGTGCTATAGGACCTCTCTTGTTTCCAGTTAGCCATGAGCGGCGGCTGTATGTTAGCTGATGTTTTGCACAACAAAGGAAAAGCGAGAATCCTAGTTCCTTTGGACCTCCCAGTTGTGGGTCTGGACCTGATGGGTGCTCTTTGCAGGGCTCACCCTGATGCTGAGACTCTAATCCTTGTAACTAAAGCTTCAGGGTCTTCATTTCCATTGCTCTTTTATCTAGCGCCCCCTAGAAGAAACAGTCTTACCCCGTGGCTGGCGCTTCTGGCTCCTGCCCCTTTTCCTGTGCTCCTGGTCTCTAAGCTGGAGCAGTGGACTGGGGAGCCAGGCTGCCTGTCGATCCACGTTCTGCCACTTGCTTAACCTGCCTCAGAAGTTGCTATGGTGATTACACGAGTTCATATTTGCAAAGTACTTAGAACCACGCTTGTTTCATCGTAAGCCCTATATGAACCTTTTTGAAGAAGTCTTAACTGTATTCTCTATCCTGATTGTGGTGCTGGTTACATGACCAGACATTTGTCAAAACTCATCACAAGTGTGCATTTAAGAAGGTGAAAAAGTTTACTGTATGTGAATTATACCAGTAAGTCTGACCTAAAAGTATTTTGAGATGAAAAACAAATTCAGTCAATCAGCAAAGGGTCTATTAGGCCTCGCACCCTAGGATTATAAAAACATAATTCAGAGGCTCACCTGTCTAGCTGAGCAAGCTGATCACAATACAGGGTAAGTTTGCATGTCGGTATGAGACGGTGATGTAGGAGGCGCTGCTAAGAAGCTTATTCGTCATGCAGTGAGAAATGAGAAATGCTGTAGGGGTTCAGAGCTGGATTGCGTACCGGAGTCTTGAAGGTTTCACCAGGGAGGGGACCTTGAGCTGGACCTTGGAGGATGAGTAGGATTTAGGGAGGTGGGTATTTGGGGTGTGGGGGGGGTGGGATGGGTGCAGGTGCAAGGCCCAGGGGCAGACATGCCCATGGGGAGCATAGGCAACCACAAGAGAGCTGGTTGCGGTGAAATGGACTCTGTCCCACTGTGTGAGGGGCAGCCATGCTCTGGACTAACCAGCATTCCTCTCTTCCTCCACAGAAAGGCCCCCCTTCTGGGAAAGACCGCGTGAAGAAAGGTGGCTCCTATATGTGCCACAAGGTAAGTCAAGTCGCTGAACCCTGATTTGGGGTAACAGCAGGTTTATGGATCCATTGTAAACAGCAGCCCCCAGATGTCCCCCCTCACCTCCGCTAATACATTCTTGTACCTGCCCCCACTAAAGCCAGGAGAAAAGGAGGCTAACCATCTCAAGTTTGGGCACAGGCACGGGGACAAGTGGCACAGGAAGCAGAGGTTGCGAGTGATCTATTGTCCACCGAATTCCATCTGTTGCATCTTAACCCTTTGAGAGACCCTTGTCCCATGAACCAGGGTGGCCTATGCCTTTCCAGCATGTAAGTTTGGAAGAACACGCTTCATTTATTTGAGACTCCTGTAAACTCTGGGTTCTCTGTTGAGATTTCGGTGAGAGTTGAAAGTGGAGGGTGGATTGTGTGGAATGGAAACATCCCAAGTGTCCTAGGCGTAGAGTGTGCGCTTTGTGAAATAAGTGTCACCCTCAGAGCTAGTTTCTGCTCTTTGGGCCGTGATTTCAGTGTCAGAGCTGCCTGTTCTTGGTTACTCCAAGTGACATGTGTTTCATGAGTAACTATTTTAAGGGGTTTGTCACTTCCCTTCCTTTTTTCCTTTAAGTCATGTATTTTTAGTGTCTTCAGCACTTCAGCTTCTGTCTTTCTATCCCTGTGCGAAGATGGCATTTTGCAAATTATTATTACAAGACACTTCCCAAGGTAATTTAGTCAGGCCAGGCGGTTAGAGACTTACAACCACTGATAATGGTTCCAAATTGAGTTACTAATTTGATAATGGTACATTGTCAAACTTTGCCTTAAAACAGTGGTTCTCAAGCTTGATTGCACATTAGAGTCATCTGGGATCTATAAAAATACACTGCCTGTTTCCTCTCTTGCTTCATTCTGATTTGATTTTTCTGGAATGTGACCTGGGCATCAGAATATTAAAACTCTCAAGGTGATGGTAACATACAGCAAAGTTTGGGAACCTCTTGCCTAAAGATTATGTACATATGTAAGTCTGGAGGTGTGTGTTTCTTTTGCATTTCTAAGAATTTTTAATCTACTTATTGAGGTGGAAGTTCAAAGAGTTGAGTTCACCTTATGCTTTACACCTAAGTTTGTAACAAGATGTGGACACATTTATCTTTAAAACTCTAATTTTAAATTAAAAGCATTGTCCCAGGCTATCCCAGTGCTTTATTTTTATTTATTTATTTTATTATTATTTTTTAAAGATTTTTATTGGGGAATTGGGGGAGAGGAACAGCATTGGGGAATTGAGGAAGGGGAACAGACAAGTTGCTGTCCTTTTGTTCCTCAGTCTAGTTGTGGAGGACGTTGCTTCACTGGCCCCATGTTGGTATTACCATTGTGCTCTTCCTGGGCGAGGCAGTCGCTCGCCAGCCATTGGACAGCCACTCACGGTGGCTCACGCCAGCTGCCGGCCTGCCCCACTGCAGCCTACAGGTCGAGCTGTTGTTCACCATCTTAGCTGTAGAGGGCACAGCATCACTGGCCCTCATGTGGGACCTGAACCGGGGCCCTGCTGCTCAGAGCTGAAGTCCCAAGCCAACTCTTAACCAACACGCCACTCGGCCGGCCCCGTCCCAGTACTTTTAAATGTTCAGATCCACATCAATGTTTAGTCCCAGATTTTTTTCTCTAATCCATACTGTTACTACAATATTATCTGACTCCTCCTGCTAGGAGCTAGACTGCCATGAAAAACAGGTGAACCCCCCCTTTGCACAATAATATCTCAAAACCCTAATTTCCACCAGTTGTGTCTCTGACCTATGGCACTTCTCTTAATTGGAAACCCATTTACTGTAAGAATTGAGGACCAGAAGATTTTTCCTCAAGAGACAATGGAGAAAATGAAGTGTGTGAAAAACATTTTAAGCATGAACACTAAAATATCCCAATGCCGTGCATACGAATGTGTCCACTTTAACATTTTTTGTTTATTTGCTTATTTTAAATCTGTATTTTTATAGGCTTTCTAGTTTATTCTTTTTGTTTGTTTGTTTGTTTTTGTTTTTGTTTTAGCTGAGCCATCCTGCCGTCTGTTGGCAGCTCAGCAGCTGCTCAGCTTGGGCCAGGACTTGAATCGCTGTTGCTCAGAACTCAATAGTTTATTCTTTTAAAATATATTTTAACTTAATATTTGTTTTTAATAAATACCGTTTACATGGTACAGTTGGTTTTTGTATATTTATCTTATGTCCTGCAGCTTTGTTAAACTCACCTATGAGCAGTGTTTCTGTAGGTTCGATTGGCTTTTTTACGTAGGTGGTGAATATAGACATTTTACTTTTTCCTTTTTAATCTGGGTGCCTCTTATTATTGTTTCTTGCTGTATTGCATTATATAGAATCTCAAATAAAGTGTTGAATAGGAGTGGTGAGGACAGACATTCTTACCTCATTTTTGAGATAAGAATCTTAGGGTGTTAACAGTCAACTTTTCAAAATTAAATTTGATATTAGCTGCATTGTTTTCAAAGATGGCCTTTGTCAGCTTGAGGAAGTTTCCTTCTGTTCCTGGGTTTTTCAGAGTTTTTACCAGAAGGGGATATGGAGTTTGCCAGATGCTTTTTCTGTAGCTATTGAGATGTTTTTTTCCAGACTGTTAATGTGGTGAATTACACTCATTGATTTTAAAATTTCAAGTGTTAAACCATCCTTGCCTTCCTGGAATACATCCACTTAGTTAGGAGGTATTATCCTTTTTAAATATTTTGGATTTGATGTTGAACATTTTTGCATTTACGTTCATGATGGGCATTGGTCTGTTTTCTTTTCTGGTTTTGGTATCACTGTATTGCTGACTTCATAGGTTGAAATGGAAAATATTCCCTCATCTTAAATTTCTGGAGGAGTTCATGTAGAACGAGCTATTTCTTCCTTAAATGTTATAGAATTCCCCTAGGGAAAACTGTTTGGGCCTAGAGTTGTAACCATAATTTTAATTTAGTTAATAGCTGCAGAGCTATTCAGATTATCTGCTTCTTCTTGATTAATATCTATGAGTTTGTGTCTTTTAAGGAATTGGTCCATTTCATCTGAATTTATTGGCATAATCTTTGCCCTTTCATTGGCTGTTTAAACCATTTACATTTAATGTGATTGATATGATTGGGTTGAAATTTGCCATCGTGATCTTTGTTTTTCTTTTTGTCTCTTCTGTTCTTTGTTCCCTTTCTCTTCCTCTCTCTCTCTTTTTTTTACTTCTTTTGGGTTAAGTATTTTTTTTTAATACATTTTATCACTCTACTTCTCTCCTTTGGCTTATTAGCTATAACTCTTTATTTTAAAATTTTAGTGATTGATTTAGAGTTTATGGTATGCATATTTAATTTTTTTTTTTTTTAGTCTACCTGAAGGGCTTTAATTTAGTCAGGCTCAGAAGGATGAAGAGAATATTCCAGAAGAGAGAATACTAGGAAAACAGCACAGTGTTGGTTGTGAATTACTTTCAGAGTGCTTCTCCTTTCCAGTAGATTAAAATGGCAGCTATAACTAAGTTATTAAGATGTGAACTCTGGAAGTAGATCTGGATTGGAGTTCTGTAGCTGCTCCTTGCTCGTCTGTGACCCGGGGTGCTTAACCTTTCTAAGCCTCAGTTTTCACATTTGTAAAATACACATCATAGTTGTACATACTGTAAAGTTATTATGAGGAAAGAATGGACCAAAGTATATTAGCTCTTGGTACAGTGCCTAGCTTGTGGTAAAAGATGCTGTTAACACCATCTTCCTTAACTATCGTCTTTATTATAACTAGATTGTTTTTCTCCCTTTTTCCTTTTTGAATAAAGATGCAGCTAATGAACTAACTAGCTAGGCAGAATCCTGGTAATGATTCTTAAGATGTAGGTGAAAATCAATAAAAAGAAAGAAAGAATAATGCAATTCAAAAAAATCACCTTGCTTAGAAAGTGACTTACTTTTGATCATGGGCCAGGGTCAGTTTGCATTGACTGAAGTGATCTCTGATGATTATTCAGAACTTTTTGAAAGTCCATCTGAAGTACAGCTTCAATAAAGAGATGAGGGTACAGAAAGAAAAACTATGAGGCAACACGGTTCAGGTTAAGAGCACAGACTCTGGAATGGGGTTGAAAAGGCTGTGAGGCGGGCTCCACCAGTTACCAGCCATGTGACCTTGGGCACACTATCAGCATCCCTGTGCCTCAGTTTTTTCTTCTTTATACAGGTCAGATACTACGACTACCTACCTACCCATAGGATTACTGGATGAAGTGAATTAATACATGTGAAGTTTTGGGGATAGTTCACATAGAAAGTACTCAAGAAATACTAGTTGTTGTTTTTGAATGTTGTGAAATTAATCCCTGTGGGGTCTTTGGCTAAACCCACAACACTGAGGATCCTCACCCTTCCTCCTCCGTTTTGCACCAGGATTACCAGCCAAAGGAGTAAATCTAGTGTCAGTGGATGGGAAATCAAGAGATGTAGGTTCTGTGTGATTTTTCTATAATGATTTTGTTTATAATGAGCTACAATTGCCTTAAAGCTTTCCTTTGTCCCTAGAAGTCTTCCTCTCACAAAAACCACATTGCCGTCCCAATTGACTTCAAAGCCCCAAGGCTGGTAGGTCATTATCTTAAGTGCCTGAGTCTAGGATCACATTCTTAGCACAGATATTGAGATCAATCTTATACGGTAATTAGCCATTTTGATGAAATAGGGCTAAAACAGGACCTTCCCACTACCTCTGTTCTTAATTAATAAAATGACCCATATTTCAACCAGATCTAACATCACTAATAACCATTTTTGGTGCTAAAAGTAGAGTTGGAAAAAAAGAGCAAATGAGGGCGTTTAAAATCAGGCCATTTTCCTTTTTAATTATGTATTCCGTTAGTCACCCATTATTGGAATTTAAAATGAACTACTTATTAGTAAATGTTTGCTGAGTGAATGAGTACATGGGAAGGGGAATGATGATGTGAATTGACTGGTTTCTCATATGATGGTCGTGACCTCTCACACCAACTTGTAGTGAGACTTTGTTTTAGGGCGTAGTTCTTCACAGCCATTTAGGTTAATAGAAAATTTTAGGGGCTGCTCTGATCTAATAAAGGACAGCTCTTTTTGTTGTTACTGATTTTAAGCTTATTTGTTATAGAAACAAAACATTTTCATTGCATTAAAAATTAGAAAATCAATAATAAACATAAAAATGAAAACAAAAATCATTTGTCCTACTTCCTGCAGAAAACTGTTGATAGTATTCTACCAAACTTTTTGGTATACTTTTTTTCTTCCCCAAATGGAATTATTCTGTATGTACCAGGGGCTTCAAACACAGCTGTGGGGAAAATCTCTTAGACTGGATATCATGCATCTCTTTTCTCCTGTCTTATAGTACAGCCTCAGAACCCTCCCAAAAAGCTCATCAAAGTTGTTCCAGCTTGTGTTTTGTGCATGTGAACAGCATCTTTTTTTTTTAAAGGTTTTATTGGGGGTATTGGGGGAGGGAACAGCGTTGGGGAATTGGGGAAGGGGAACAGACAAGTTGCTGTCCTTTTGTTCTTCAGTCTAGTTGTGGAGGATGTTGCTTCACTGGCCCATGTTGGTATTGTGATCATTGCGCTCTTCCTGGCTGAGACAGATCAGTTGCCGGCCACTTGGACGGCTGCTCACGGCGGCTCACGGCAGCCTAGCTCCAGGTTGAGCTGTTGTTCACAATCTTAGCTGTAGAGGGTGCAGCTTACTGGTGCATGTGGGACATGAACTGGCAGTCCTGTTGTTCAGAGCTCGCGTTCTTACCAACTGAGCCACTCGGCCGGCCTGTGAGCAGCATCTTATTTTAAAAGTTTGTTATGTGATTTGAGAGATAAGTTCCATAGAGAAATATGCCATCCCACAAAGACCTTGGTCCTGTATCTTATCACCAGAGGTGTTCCCCAACTTCCTATTTGTATAGCAAATAAGTTTCACATTTACGTAGCAAGTGTAGACCCATGTTCAGCCGCTGGCAAGCGTATCATCATCTTTCGGAGACCTGCGGAGCAGCTGGCTCGTGCTTTCGTTTGAGTGAGGCAGCAGGTTGACCCAGAGAGGACAGAGAAGACAGGCCGAGTTCATTTCCATACCGGCGTGTCATGTTCATCAGGAAGTAACAGCTCCAGCGCCTCCACCTGTCTAGTGCTTTACTTTTTTATGTAAAGATAAGATGGAGCATTGTAACATTATTCCATTAAGAGCCCATTTTATCAATTAGGGAACATATTTAGAAAGGCTTTCCCAAAGGTTAAATAGCTAATGAGTCTTGGATTCTGCCTGGTGAGTAAATTAGCAAGGTGTTCGTCATGATTTCCATTTGTATCAAGCCCTAATTCCTCTTTCCTCTGAGACAGCCGCCTGTGATGTGACGGCGTCCTATTTATCCACCCACATTTCCTGCGTTTTATCATGTATCAGCTTTGTGCCAGCCATTGCTTTTGCCTGGAATTCTCATTGTCCAAATCTTTGGGCAACTTGGCTCGCGTGGTGCCCCCACAGAGCGGCTTTCCCTGGCCACCTTATCTAAAGTCCCCGCCTGGTCATGCCCGCCCTCTCGCCCTGTTTTACTTTCTTCCAAGCTGACCACTCCCGGAAACAGCCTGTAATTTACTGGGTTATTTGTTGTATGACTACTTCTGTTGAAAGGAAGCTTCCTGATTCCAGGGGCACTGTCTATCTTGTTCGCATCGTATCCTCCTTGCCCAGAATGACATGTAGTATATTGTAAACTCTCAAATCGTCAGTGAAGAAATAAGCCACGTAGCCATGATCAGGCTATGGCCTTGCTATCTTCTTAATTTTCCTGAGTTTTTCCCTTTTCGTGCGTGCCTCTGCTATCACTGTTTTCTCCACTAGCAGCACCGTCTTTTCTCCTTTCTAAATCCTGTAAATCAGTGCTGCTGAAATGGTGTCCCATGGGCCCAGTGTCAGCAGCACCTAGAAGCTTTCTAGAAATGCACATTTTTGGACCTCACACCTGACTTCCTGAATCAGAATCTCTGGGTGGTGGTCCAGGAATAGGTATTGAAACACACTCTCCAGGCTGTTATTATGTTCGCTAAAATCAGGAGGCTACTGCCACCCAGGGTCATGGAAATCCCGCTTGGCCAAGTCTTGTTATTCTACAAGGGAAAGTCCCTTCACCTGAATTAGTAACAACCTCAGCATCTTTTGGCCCTGGAGTGTTTTGTAGCCGTTGGATGATGTGTAATCATTGTTTCCTCATCCAGCCAGGCAGGACCAAGCCTGGACTCGGGCTTCCTCTGTGGGTGTGCACGGTACCAATCGGGAAATGCTTGATTGTTTCTGGCCACGTGTGCTGCAGTTAGAGAACAAGAATGTCCCTTTCTGGCTGCCTGCCTCCCCAGGACTTGGGCGCTTGGGGCCCAGGATTGCCCCCTGAGCTTGATTCTAGAAGCACCACAGCCCTGTGGCTTTACCGCAGCCCGGGAGCAGGTGTAGGTCCCTGCTGCGTCTTCTTGCAGGGTCACCTGGAGCTTCCGTCGCCTGCCAGTCACAGGCTGTAGCCGATGCCTTCAGGTTTTCACTCTCTCAGGCAGGTTGGTTTATTCATCTTCCCTTCGCCTGCCCGGTAATATGTTAGGCTCCTCGGTGGCCCAGGGAAGAGGAGAAAGTTGTTAATATTACTTTACCATCTGTAGAAGGTAAAGCACTGTCTTTCTTTTTACTGTGGAAGTGCCCTGCAGAACTGCCGTGTCAGCCTCACAGATAGGTTCTATGAAGATTGGAACGTTCAACTTCTGGGGGAGAAAGGAAGAGTAATAAGAATTAAGAAAAAACTGAGAACCCCCCCCCCCCCCCCCCCCCAAAGGGACTCTCCTTCACGAGTCCCTGAGTTAGTCCCCGTGATGATTTGTGCGGCTTCCTTACCCAGCAGGCGGGGACCTGATTTCCTCTGGGCCAACCCAGAGTTGATACGCGTGGTGCACAGAGCAAGTAGTTCGTTGTCATTCTCTGTTACTTTGAAGAACAATTATAGGACCTAAGAGTTCCGTGCATGGTTATTTTTTAAATATGGAAGCTTTTGGAGTATTTGAATCAAGTAACCTGTGGTTATCCACCTACTGGGCGGCCATGCTAGGCTTTCTTGTGCAGGTGTGTGTGTGCGTGCCGGATGGATGTCTGGGGGTGGGGACAAGCGCAAGATGTGATACCTTGCATCTAGTACACTGTCTCGCCACGGAGGCCAGCGCACGGCCCGACCCGGGTTTGAATTCCACTTCCTGTAACAACTGTGTCATCTCAGGTGACTTATGTAACTTCTCTGAGCTGTTATGTGCAAGTGAGCTAACAGATGAATGTGCCTGCCTGTCACCACACCTGGCCTGTGCCAGCGCTCGCTGTCCATGGGCATTTTTGCACATGTGTGTTTGTACTCTGCTCCTGCAAAATAAACAGACACTAAACAAACCCCCCCCACACACACACAGAAATGTGTAGCTTTATGTGATTACGATTGAAACCCTGAAAGCACTGTATTGAAAAAAACGTTTTCCATGCCTTTCCTCCTCTTGCTGTTTCAGGCTTGCTGTTTAGTGGTTCCCAGTTTGCCAGGTGTTAAATCGTGTCTTAATGTTGGTCTGAATTAATATTTTTCTAAGTCGTCTTAAGCTTTATCTCTTGGTTTAATGGCAAGCACTATTCTAAATGTGAAAATAACTTCTTGAGTTATAACAGTAATATATGTGAGGAAAGACTGAAGACAGAGGACATATATAATGGAGTCACTTTGACCCAGCTGCTAAAATGAGGCATGAGGATCGACTCCATTCTATAATAGTTCTAACTCACCTGGGAAGTTAAACTTTTTTGCCCTTTCTGTTCCCGTGTGACTGCTTGGATGTACACGTGGGCCCCCAGATAGCCCTCTGGTTATCCTCTGAAGGACTTACCTTATACACGCACCTGGCATCCACTGTTCAGAGCACCAGGACTGGCCAGACCTCCCAGCACTGTCTCCTGGACCACTTGGCATCCATCATCCTGACCGATAACCATCCTGGACCAACCCTAGGGCTAAGGATGCAGGGCTGGTCCTTCTCAAGGAGGCACTTTTTACTAGAAGAACTTTAACTTTTCTTTCTTCTTTGGAATACTTCTGGGACTTCGCCTAGCTGTGTTCCCAGTTGGCCAACTCCAAGACCTTTGAATAAATCTCCACCACTTATTCCTAACAAAACCTCCAGACACTTTTTGAGCTTGTTCAACATAGACTCGGTGTTGGAAATTGGAAACTTAGCTGCCCGAGGGTAACTGCGGTTTGCATTGAGGTGCATTTCGATTCTTCCAATCTTTCTCCTTCGGCACATGTAATTGTGTAACTCATATAGAGTTTTGTATTCTGACTTTTTTATTTAACATTGTATCATGAGAATTCCCATGTCTTTAAATATTACATAAAAACATGATTTTTAATGGCTGCTTACTAGTGTAGCATGGATGTATCCGTAACGTGTGTGACCGTTGCTTGGTCAATTTCTTACTGTGTGAAGTCGTGTTGACGCCAACATCTTGTATTATGTCTCGGTCATGTTTGTAATATGTGGTGAGCTCGGAACGAGCTGCCTGCTAAAAACTTCAGTGCTATGTGCGCAGGAGAGGGTGTCTGTGAGCAGAGCTCTGCCTCCAGGTCGGCACAACTTCCCTGTCGCTGGTGTTTGGGCACAGCATGAGCCGGACAGGTCAGCCATCAGCCACCAGTCCGCGAGCACTCACCTCTCTCTCCCTCTCTGCACAGTCCTATTGCTACAGATATCGCTGTGCTGCCCGAAGCCAGAACACCCCCGACAGCTCCGCTTCGAACCTGGGGTTCCGCTGCGCTGCTGATCACCTGCCCAGCATGGCCTAAGAGCCTAGAAGAAGAAGTCGTGTCTGACCTGCGCTGGTCTCCCCTCAGGACGACGACAAAGAGTTCCCGCCCCAAGGTGGGCTCATACCTGCCCAGTGGCCAGAGGAACCCCTTGGGAGACCAAGTTGCCGAGCTGTGTCAGCATTCGCGCTTTATCTGGGGTGCATTTCTGTAGCTCATCGCCATGTGTTACTTTGCAGAGCCTTTTCCAAGTGGATGGGGGTGGAGGGGAGCCTGAGCTAGGCTTTAGGAGGCACGCTCTTCCCCGACTCTGCCCCTGGGGGTCTACCCCAGGGTCCCCCACTGACCTCTCTCCAGGACCCCTGAGGCTCTCTGCAACTCAAATTCTATGACTAGCTGAGATTCTATTGTGACTTCATAGTGAGAATTTATGACAGATTATTTTTGAGCTATTTTTTTCCATGTGTGAACCTTGGGTGACACTAATCATGTAAAATAAAGAGTTCTCTGATGTGTTATTTCCAGAAAAGGTTGGGGGGTGGTGGTGACAATGCTTTATATTCATACTGCACTTTGTTTTTTCAAGGAAATGAGTGTCTGTTACATTGTTGTGATGAATCCCCCGTGGGTCAGTGACTGTGAGCTCAAGTTCAGCTCTCTGAACACGCAGGGATGTTGGTGGGGTGGTTCTACTGTGCTTTATATTTTAATATTAAGTGCCTTTGGTTCAGGGGGGCAGTTATAAGCCCTATTTCCCCTTCTCCCCTAAGCCTTTGGGGATGTGAAATGGTGGTACGTGGAGCAATCAGATGTAGGAGAGAAGGAATGAGAGCCTTGAACGAAGTGCGCGCAGGGTGTCTGGTGCTTTGTAACAGGGAAGCAGGAAATCGAGTTGGCGTGGGCTATCGGGCGCTTTGAATCATGCACTGTGTTGAATAAACTGGTACCTGCTACGTCAGCCTTTACGCTCATGGTCCCTTCTCTGTTTCCCTCACTGTGTTTTCTTTTAAAGAAATGACTTTGTGATAAGCGTGTGTTTTGTCTGCTAGAACACTTTCATGTCCATTAGTGCCTTGATAACTTTGACATGCAAACAATCTGTGGCAATTTTTATTCCCAAGAGCAAGGCTGTTCTGCCAGGAACCTAACTATGATCTTGCTGCTTCATGCCTTGGTGGGTGGCCCTGTGAAACCCGGTGGCTGATTCACATGTCAGGAAAGCCCCTTGTTTTAGAGTGATGGCTTTCAACCAGAGGTCGCTGTCATAGGACCCCATCCTGATCCCCCAGTCCTAGAAGACCCCTGAGACATATCTAGCCTGTCATTTGAAAGAAATTGCTGTCTTTATGTTGGTTGTTCAGAAAGTAAGTCAAATAATATTCATAAGTATTCATCTGACACTTGATTGCCAGTTTTGTGCATAGGAGTAACATCAAAACATTTGTCATGAAAAACAATTGTGTTGCTGGGGGTGTTGAGACACATTTATTAACCTGTCAGTGTGTGGATGTAAAATGTTCCCCTACAAACTTTCACCAATTGTTGATTAATTCCAAGCAAAACAAACAAAAAATTTTGCTTCATTGAAAAAGCTAATGTAGAATATAAGGTATTTTATTCTTAAAGTTACCAATACTCAATTGAGTTTTGGGTTTGTTTTTTTTTAAGATTTTATTGGGGAATTGGGTGAGGGGAACAGACAAATTGCTGTCCTTTTGTTCTTCAGTCTAGTTGTGGAGGATGTTGTTTCACTGGCCCAAGTTGGTATTGTGATCATTGTGCTCTTCCCGGCTGAGGCAAATCGGTCGCTGGCCATTGGACGGCCGCTCACGGGGGCCCTTGGCAGCTCACGCCGGCTGCCAGCCGCTCACGCTGGCTGCCGGCCGCTCATGGTAGCTTACGGGAGCCCACTGCAGCCTATGCCATCGCCGGCGACTCATGGCAGCCCAGCTCCAGATCGAGCTGTTGTTCACCATCTTAGCTGTAGAGGGTGCAGCGTCACTGGCCCTCATGTGGGATCCAAACCAGGGCCCTGCTGCTCAGAGCTGGTGTCCCATGCCAGCTCTTAACCAACGCGCAACTCGGCCGGCCCTGGAGTTTTTGTTTTTACTTGTAACCTCCCACCTGCTTATATTTTTTTACATGGTTATATTTTTACTGTGTGTATTTTGGATTCGTCTCTCATTGATGTTACATAGCATAAATATTTTGGGTGTGTTTTGGCTTAGTCTATAGAATTGTGTTTTTAGCAGCAGCATAATATTAGAAAGCATTTTACACAAAATCTTAACAAGCCCTTTATTTCAGAACCACGTTTCTAGGTTACCAACCAAAGAGTGCACCAAACTACAGACAGCTGTGACCACTACACTACATATAACATTGCATATCGACATATGGCCAGGCCAACTAGAGGGCAGTATCATAATTTCAGCTTTAATGCCATAGATGCATTTCTGAAAAACCCCGTCTTCTGCAAAATTGCATGCAAAAATTAGGGGACATAAGGGAAAATAGGGCTGGGGCAGACCACCTAAAACTGAAGGAACTTTGTAAGTAGAGCACTGACGGAAATAATAGCTCTCCTAATAAAGCCGGGAGCTCAGTTAAATCTCCAGCGGCATCTGCACCCAGTCACAGCCTTTGCAGCCTTCAGCCCCGGGCGCCTTCCTCCTCCAAGATGTAAGTCCTTGAAGGCGTTTGCTCTTAATGGGGACCACCTGCATCAAAAGTCAGTATCTCATCCACGTGTAGACTTCCTCATCAATCTTTTTTTAAAGGGGTGTGGGCCGTGTCCTTGTAGCACCTTTATCTGCATGCTCAGCTTTTGTTTGTTTGTTTCACAAGGTGTACTTATGTTGGGCCTGTGCTTTTAACTCTTTTATTTCCTCCCTCACTGAAGCGTGGAGGGAATTTGAGGTTTGTTTTCAAATGTACCTTGCTCCCGAATCCTGGACAAGCTGACTTTATCATCAGGGGTGTACACGAGGAGCTGAGTGGGAAGCAAGTCATATCTTTCTTTATAAAACCTTGGAAACACGATTAGAAAGCAGTAGGGAACCAGGAGTGATGGTGGTGCTCAAGAGCGGAAAACGTCACATTACATTGATGCCTCAAACTTGGTGTGGTTCAGCCGACAGCTTAAAGTAGAATACAGACCTGCATCAATTTAGACATTTTTTTTTTCCTTTTTCTTCCTCTTCTCCCCTCCCTGCTTTTTTCTTTTCTTTTCTTTTTTCTTTTTTTTGACAAGGCATCAGTGTTGTCCCTATGACCCTAGAGGACAGGAAGAAATGGAAGGTGCTGTTTAGTAAGTGTTTCTTTGGGCTGGGGTGTGATGGGGTAGTGACTCCAAACTGTGTCTTGGTAAATTCTATTTTCCACAGACTGTCTTTACTGAGAATTCTGTTGTTGACAGAAAATCAGGCAATAGGCCTCACTCTCTTGCACAAGCACCTGAGAATTCTCGCCTTCTCGCTAAACACCTTGTGAAAACATCATGTTTTCAAGCTACGTGTACAATTGTTGCCAGGGGTAAAATCCACCGCTGAGTTAGTGAAAGGAGTATTATGGAAAAAGCATGAACTATGGTGTTTTCTGTTTTGAGACTTCAGGTAGTTCATACAAGAGGCTAGTGTGGGAATTCTTTTTCTTTTTATAACATAGTTCGCATGCGTTTCTTCCTCCTTCCTTCCCACAAGCAGTACCCTCCTCAGCGGCCATATGTTTCTCAGGAAGTTAACCTGCAGGCTGCTGTGAGGAGGAGCCAGGTGCTGCAGGGCCCGGCCTCCGCTGCCTGAGGGGGAGTGATGCCCGCTCTGAAGGGGCCGCAGCCACTCCGCTCTCACCTGCCGCTGCCACACACGAGCGGGCCCAGGGCTGCTCCGTCATCCACTTTCCAAGAGTAGCTGGACACCCGCATGTTCATGTGACGGCTTCTGCGCTCTTCAGGTTGACAACCAATTCAGGTTGGAAAAAAACAAACACTGAAGACCTCATACATTGCTTCTGCAGCCAGACCCAGCCTGTGGGGTGCCACTCTCAACCTAGATGATGAAACGTCAACTCATTTCATGGAGCACAAAAATTCCATATATTTCTATTGGAAAAAATGATGAATCCAGTAGGTAATGTACCAGCTGGGAATGCCCAGGTGTGAGGGAGGGCAGCGCCGCCTTACCTGGCGCCTCTCCTCCCCACCCGCTCCCACCTGCAGTGGTCAACAGCCCCGGGAATCGCAGCAGGGCCATTGTCAGCCCATTTTCATGAACTTAAACGCTTACTAAGTTTGCAGATTGATACCAAAGAATAGCAGAAATGTCAGTTTCTCGACTCTTGGTTTCATTGCATTTATTAAACTTCATTCTCTGCAGCAAAAACTACTCCAGAGCAGGCCTTGTTTTCATAGCTTTGCCAGGATCTGCCGTGCTATTAGGGAAAGTTGGCCTTGGTTGTTTCAGATGCATAAACCCCAAGGAAATTATTAACTCCAAGAGGCCGCGAGGAGCTGGGGCAGCGGGCCAGAAGGCCTGCCTTCCTATGACTCTTGTGTGAAGACCATTAGAGCAGGAGTTTAATTAATTTTTTGATTACGCCAAACTGCAACAGGTAATATTCAGGTAGGTTGTAAAATGAGAAATGCTCCTAGTTGCCCTAGTTCAGATTGGAAAGTTCAGGGGCATAGCACCGCGGGGTGGAATTTTTCAGCTTCAGATCATATTCTCATCGGCCCCCAAATGGTAATTGACCCCAAAGTCATTATTCAGAGAAGGCTGGCTGGGCCTTTGGAATTAGTCACGGTTGTCAGTCAGGAAGGCAGTTCCATTTCACAGTAACTGAGGGTCGGATAGGATTGCTCTCCCACCCCTGGGTCCGGGTCATGCTGGACAAACTCCTTGTTTTCTTTGCTGAGGAAACGGAAGGCAGATCAGAGCTGCTCTTTCCAGCATGTCAGTTCGGCATCTCATCAGGGTAAGGTGAGAAGCGCTGAATCAAGGCTCAGGGGGAAGTGAAACCAGCTCGCAGGCCCAGGGGAAAAGAGATAAGCCGGCTGGTCAGGTGGCGCTGATAACAGGGTCACCCGCGCTTAGCCCGGGGCTTGTGAGGAAGGGCGCTTCGGGGTTGCTTTCCTGAAGTCCACAATTTTCCTCTGCTCCAGACACTTGCCACATACAATTTTTTAAATTTACTTTTAAATGACATGGAAGGATGCCCCTGGAACCTGTTCAGTTGCTGTCGTTGGAATGACTTTGATATCGAAGGACTCCCCCAAAAGGACTTCACAATATGTAGTATGAGATCCCCCACTGTTGCAGCTTCTGCTGGAGGTGACATGGACCCTGCATGTCACCAACGTCTGCCCCTCCAGATGGTGGTCGTATTATAAACCCCATGAAACGGGTCAAAGTGTTACTTCCATGAAACAGCTGACTTTCTCTTGGTGGATTTTGTCTTCGCTTTGCTGTGAATCATGATCGCCCTACCTCTGCTCTTAGGAAACTAGGACTCAGTGTTTGCAAGGTGCCCAGGTGACATGGCTGAAAGGCAGAACTGGGATTCACCCTGTTTATGACTTCTGTTCTCTCCTCTGTACCATGAAACCTACAGTTGTATTGTGCATTTGGGGTGGGGGGAGTAGACTGAGAGGGGAGATGACTGGGAGGAGCCTCAAGGGAGAAAGGCAGAGTGGGGGGCTGGCGTGGTTTAGTGATTATAAGCGTGGTCTCGTGGAGCCAGACTGTCTGGGCTTAAATTCTTGTCCTGCCACTTGCTATAATAGCATTGTGACTTTGGGCAAGTTACTGAACCTATTTGTTCTTCAGATTTTGAAAATTAAGTGGAAGTTCTTCTAGAACAGGTAGAATCGAGGCAGGAGGGTTAAAATAGTATAGAGCGATCTGTGTGTAAACCTTTGACCTACTTTACGTCCGTTCCGAACTTCGAAGGTCAATGCAATAATTATT